AAAATGCTGATTCATCCAGTAATGAAACAAGTGAAGTATTTATGAGTGAGTCATTGGATCATTCATTCAAGATTCGTTTAAAAATGCTGAGAAATCCAGTAATGAAACAAGTGAAGTATTTATGAGTGAGTCATTGAATCATTCATTCAATATTTGTTTAAAAATGCTGATTCATCCAGTAATTAAACTAGTGAAGTATTTATTCATTCAAGATTTGTTTAAAATTTTTGATTCATCCAGTAATGAAGCAAGTGAAGTATTTATGAGTGAGTCAATGAATCATTCATTCAATATTTGTTTAAAAATGCTGATTCATCCAGTAATGAAACAAGTGAAGTATTTATGAGTGAGTCATTGAATCATTCATTCAAGATTTGTTTTAAAATGCTGATTCATCCAGTAATTAAACAAGTATTTATGAGTGAGTCAGTGAATCATTCATTCAAGATTCGTTTAAAAATGCTGATTCATCCAGTAATGAAACTAGTAAAGTATTTATGAGTGAGTCAGTGAATCATTCATTCAAGATTTGTTTAAAAATGCTGATTCATCCAGTTATGAAACAAGTATTTATGAGTGAGTCATTGAATCATTCATTCAATATTTGTTTAAAAATGCTGATTCGTCCAGTAATGAAACAAGTAAGGTATTTATGAGCCACTGAATCATTCATTCAAGATTCGTTTAAAAATGCTGATTCATCCAGTAATGAAACAAGTGAAGTATTTATGAGTGAGTCATTGGATCATTCATTCAAGATTTGTTTAAAAATGCTGAGAAATCCAGTAATGAAACAAGTGAAGTATTTATGAGTGAGTCATTGAATCATTCATTCAATATTTGTTTAAAAATGCTGATTCATCCAGTAATGAAACTAGTGAAGTATTTATGAGTGAGTCAGTGAATCATTCATTCAAGATTTGTTTAAAAATGCTGATTCATCCAGTTATGAAACAAGTATTTATGAGTGAGTCATTGAATCATTCATTCAATATTTGTTTAAAAATGCTGATTCGTCCAGTAATGAAACAAGTAAGGTATTTATGAGCCACTGAATCATTCATTCAAGATTCGTTTAAAAATGCTGATTCATCCAGTAATGAAACAAGTGAAGTATTTATGAGTGAGTCATTGGATCATTCATTCAAGATTTGTTTAAAAATGCTGAGAAATCCAGTAATGAAACAAGTGAAGTATTTATGAGTGAGTCATTGAATCATTCATTCAATATTTGTTTAAAAATGCTGATTCATCCAGTAATTAAACTAGTGAAGTATTTATTAATTCAAGATTTGTTTAAAATTTTTGATTCATCCAGTAATGAAGCAAGTGAAGTATTTATGAGTGAGTCATTGAATCATTCATTCAATATTTGTTTAAAAATGCTGATTCATCCAGTAATGAAACAAGTGAAGTATTTTTGAGTGAGTCATTGAATCATTAATTCAAGATTTGTTTAAAAATGCTGATTCATCCAGTAATGAAACAAGTGAAGTATTTATGAGTGAGTCATTGAATCATTCATTCAAGATTCGTTTAAAAATGCTGATTCATCCAGTAATTAAACTAGTGAAGTATTTATGAGTGAGTCATTGAATCATTCATTCAATATTTGTTTAAAAATGCTGATTCGTCCAGTAATGAAACAAGTGAAGTATTTATGAGTGAGTCATTGAATCATTCATTCAAGATTTGTCTTAAAATGCTGATTCATTCAGTAATTAAACAAGTATTTATGAGTGAGTCAGTGAATCATTCATTCAAGATTCGTTTAAAAATGCTGATTCATCCAGTAATGAAACTAGTGAAGTATTTATGAGTGAGTCAGTGAATCATTCATTCAAGATTTGTTTAAAAATGCTGATTCATCCAGTAATTAAACAAGTATTTATGAGTGAGTCATTGAATCATTCATTCAATATTTGTTTAAAAATGCTGATTCATCCAGTAATGAAACAAGTGAAGTATTTATAAGTGAGTCATTGAATCATTCATTCAAGATTTGTTTAAAAATGCTGATTCATCCAGTAATGAAACAAGTGAAGTATTTATGAGTGAGTCATTGAATCATTCTCTCAAGAGATTCATTCAAAAATGCTGATTCATCCAGTAATGAAACTAGTGAAGTATTTATGAGTGAGTCATTGAATCATTCATTCAAGATTCGTTTAAAAATGCTGATTCATCCAGTAATGAAACTAGTGAAGTATTTATGAGTGAGTCAGTGAATCATTCATTCAAATTTGTTCAATTTAATTAAACATTTTAAATAGACTGCAACAATATCAGAAACTCTAGTAAATTACATGTTATTGTGTTTAGTTGTCTGTTGAAAATCGTGATCTCTATTTGAAAAATAAAACCTGATTCTCAATTTATCAAAATTTGTGCAGCTCTAATTTAAAGTGGCTGATACATTTTATTGCCGTCCAAATTGAGAATGCCTGTTTTTCTCCCACCGCTAATGTAAAAAATCCCAGCCGAATTACCTTTTTTTTTTTATTACAAACACCAAAGGTTATGTGGTCATTTAATTGCCTGAATCCACATGTCTAATTCTACAAGAAGGGATCAATCCAAAAGTTTTGTAAATATTTTTTTGACCACTGCCAAGCTTACGGTAATTGTTGCATTTCGCAGCAATGTGTGCGCATTTTAAATATGGACACAATTATGACTAAAATGCTGGAAACTGTTTACAAGAATAATAATATGTCACCACTCCACTACAGTGAGCGGGAGCTGTTAAGAATGAAAAGGGAAACGAGAACAAATTCACCTAAAGTTGTGAAATTATTGCAATATTTAAATTATAATATACATTTATATAAGTTAGGGCTTGCACAATTCATAATAATTATTTAAACCATAGTGTGTAAATTTTCCCTGTTTTAATCAAATCAAATAATAAACAGGAAATTATCCTCGTATGAAATTAAACATGAATTTATTTATTGTGCTAGCAATAACACACATTTTGTTTACAGCTGAGCTGACAATCATGTGACCGACCGCATGAGCCAGTTCAGTGTATTATGTGTTTATCAGTGTGTGTCTGTTCCTTCGGTTTATTATTTATCCTTGTTATGTGTCTGTTAGTGTACGGGACAACTGGCAAGAAACTCTGTTTTACCGGCTTGCCAAAGCTTATTTTTATTTGCATGTGGCATTTGGCACGTGTAAATTTAGGAGCCTGGCTATACTTACATTAATGTATTAATAAGCACATGTGGGCTGGTGAATAACAAAAACAGATTTAGTCTTGTATTTGTAGATGTAGTGCTGTAAACAAATGCCACTGGTGCTCATGAGAATCTGTTGGCCAATATATTACATTTTGAATATGATTTACTTCAGGACATAGTGCCAATTGTAATCCGAAATGCACTTTTTTAAATGTTGCTCACATTGACTTGATCTACACAATTGTCATTTAGTTTCATATTGCACAAACAACATGACATATAGGAAATAATTAACGAATTGCCACACTTTGGATGAACATTACGATGCGTCAACACATTACCCACAAATCAGCATATTTACGGCATTGACGTACGTATGTCAGCTAATGTTGTACTGAATCCAGACTCGGTTTAAATGGATTACTTCAATTGCTTCTTTCAATGAAAAGCCTTTTTGTAAAGCCGATGTGTCTGTGCAGAGCTTGTTGCGCTCGGACCGGGTTTCGCTGAGTGGGCAGATCTTGTGAGCATGATGTTTGCTGAACACCAGATGAAACAGAGGCTCTTTTGTGTGTTTCCAGTGCTGGCCCTCCCTAGCTCTTAGAGGAGACCTCTGTCTGTGTAACGCTGTTATCTCAGCTCATGCTTGCTCAAATGCTCTCCCAGCACATGCCACGTACACCAGCCTGAACACACAGACACGGACAAAGACCCGCTTGTGTTCTCGGGCCTCGGCTCACCTTCCCGACGGCCAGCCTTGTGATTTCACTTGAGCTGAACAGCTATCTTAAGCTCATCTTAATGTAATGTTCTCTGAAGGTCATAAGGGTCTGGTTGTTTACTAATTAGCTCTCACTTTACCATCTGATGTGTGTGTGTGTGTGTGTGTCTAATGTGAACATAATGTGAAGTATACTGTTACACAGTTCTTGTTTGGTATTTCTTTTTAGTGCATTATTCACGGAGGCTTGCTTAGTTGGGGACATTTAGTTTAATATTCAACAATATTATTGATCTGCATTGACACCATTATATAAGAACTGAACTGAGCTGGACGATGACATCACAGTTTTCTCCAGATCAGCTATGTATATAAATGAACTAAATTAATAACTTTTTTACAACAAAAATGAACCATCACTGAACTTACTTAAGCTGGACTGTAACACTAAACAAACTTTGTGGCATTATTTTCCTGTTATCTCTGTATTGTAAAAAGCGCTTTACAAATAAAGGTGACTTGACTTGACAGTGCATAATGATGCAATATTGCACTATTACTACTAATCTTCAAACGAATATAACTATAGAATCAATTCTTAATGCGCATGTGAACACCATCAGGTCACAGGTTTGCGTTTAAAGTCTGTTTAGAGAGAACGCCGTCGTCTTAGTGGCCCCTAATGTAATAACAAATGATCATTTTGCTGGAAGTGAATCAATCAAAACTAACTTTAGCCGGAAATAACATTATTCAAAAATCGCTATAAAGCCAAAACAATCTCTGTTACCGTAAATTGTATGTTTATCTCTGTAAAGCTGCTTTGAAGCAATCTCCATTGTTAAAAGCGCTATATAAATGAAGATGACTTGACTTGACTATAGTAACGAATGGAAAAGCCAAATAAATTTGGAATTATACAAATGTAAAAATGAAGTGAACGGACCTAGTTGCAAAGCCAGTTACTGACCTGTCAAATAGTTTACTAGTGAAAAATAAATAAATGTAATTATTGCAGCTAAACTATAATTTCATACATTGATGACATGGAATATAGAATGAAACTGAAAGTGTGTGTTGTTGCTCTTTCGCAGGCAGTTGTGTGAAGTGCAGCCAGGCTGTGTATGGAGCCGGTCAGGCGTGTCAGGCGATGGGAAGCCTGTATCACGACGGCTGCTTCACCTGTAGCGCGTGCAGTGAGTATCTCACACACACACACACACACACACACACACACACACACACACACACACACACACGCCCTCGTCAGGTTATATCCTGAGTGTATGTACAGTCAAACCAACGTTTATTCAGACACCTTCAACGTTTCTCACATTATCTCAGTTTATTCACTATAGTTTAGAAAATGGTGATAAATATGACAAGAACTCAGAGTTCTCAGATCAGTGGATATTTGACTGGTTTTGTCCGTCCTTCTGTTAGACTCTCACACATGAATTATGTTGAATATCTGTCAGCTGTTAAATTTAACTACACAATTAGATAATACCAGTTTAGCTCAACCAGTGACCAAGCAATGCTTCATGTTGTTCAGTCTGTGTGTAAAAAGAGCATTAGCAATTACAGAAAACACACTGAAGAAAACATGATCTGAATTACTTTTGGTCCCAAATTTGTATAAATGTCACTGGTAGTCTCTGTATGAAGAGTTATTGGGTGTAATATGTCACAGTTTACTGTATTTTGCTCTCCTCACTTACATAAATTAACTATAGTGTCCTGCACACACTAGTAAAACAAAAATCAAAAATGATATCTGGTGTCTGAATCATCTTTGATTTGACTGCTATACGACTCTACACTTGCATTGCCTTCATCTTGTACATTATCTCTCATCATAAATCAGAGATGATTTACTCTCTGAATTTACTCTGATTTGTTAAAGTCCCCCTGTGGTGAAAATCCAGCTTGTTTATGTCTATGTGGTGTTTTAATACGCTTTAAGGGAAACCATGTGTAAATTCATAAGTCGACAGCATTGCTGAGTAAAACTGCAGTGAACCAAAGACAGTCTCAAAAACACGGTTTGAAATCGCTGGTGTTTCTGACGTCACAAACGACCTTGTAACCAATCAGATCAACGTGTGATCGTCAACCAGTGGATCTCTGAGCTGAGTGAGTGAGTGGAGGCGGGGCTCATTTGCATATTCATAGAACCGAGCATACTAAATGAGGCGAGGGTGTCGAGTTACATTCAAGCTATTTTAAGGCATGAAGGTTTTTTTCGAGGAAAAAACGTTTAAATATGTAATTTTGGTGCTAAAAGGTGAGTTTTAAGCGATAAAATTATTGACTACAGGGCGATTTTAAATTTGATTCAAACAGTCTGTTAAAGTGAATCAATATCAAAACTTGGATATTTTCACTCTCATGGTTTTGCCCTAATTTATTTGTCCATGTTTTTTGCTAGTGTGTAAATGTAGAATGAATTCAGGCTGACTGGGACCGGTTTTGCCATTGAAAAAGTGTCCCAATCAACCTGAATTCCCCCCTATGTATTGTAACAGTCATAGCCTGTTACAAGGCAGGCTATCTTTTGGCTTATTTGGGGGCTATGTTCATCCAAGCCACTAGGGGTCATTATTAGCACTCCATGTTTAGATTTAAAAGGGGAAGTAGCAGAAGGAGAATTATACCCAGTGTGATTTGCCACATGCTATTGACCACTGTCTTTGAAAAATCCTGTTTTGGGAAACTGTTTGTTTGCTGCCCAAACGTAAGTAAGGTTATATCATGTTTTGTTTTTTGGATATATTTGATGTAGTTGGAGACCTGTTAAATAGAGTGTTTGTTTATGGATGAGGATGTGATTTGTTGTATTTCTTTTTCTTGTAGAGGATTTTTGTGCTATTATGTTCCTACTGGATTACTGGCCAGAGGGCCTATATCATTGATTCCCTTTGGAGGCAGAAATGCCATTAGCCAAGGAAGGACATCTATGTGACCACTTAAACCTACAGACCAGTTTGGTCTCATCCCGAGGAAATTGACTTTTGACGTCCTGCTTTCCTATCATTAACTCATTCTCCAGTATTCACTTATGGTCATCTACGGATCATCATTGTTATTTGGGACAGTTTGTTTAGCTGGTGATTGATTGGCATGTGCCTATGTAAATATTGTCTGTGCACCAATATATGTTTGAAAAGAGTTTATGATCTTTTGACTATTTTTTCCATTACTCTTTGTTTGATTTCTTGAAATATATTATATCTTTCCCAGGGTATTATGCAAATATGATCCCCCCTTTTTTGTTTGTAACTTATCAGTTCTAAGCAGCTGGGACAGTTATAGAATGGCGCCCGAACAGGGACTCTTTGCAAGTTAAGAATTTCAAGAATATTTTGTACATTTTGTTTTGGAAATTATACTGTAAAATGTCAGTCTCTTCAGATGTTATTGAGGATGAGGGTGAACCCAATCCAGATTTTACCGCTGGACCTTTTGTTACACGAAGAGATCCACATCCTGTAAGAGAGCTCATTACTACTTTTAGTGAACTGTACATCAACTCCGAAGAGGATAATGACTCTGAGGCTCCGCTGGACGTTCCACTTCCTCCACCACCACCTCCTGACGTACTGGATCCTCAATTCTCGGCTCAGTCAATGGATGAGATAACCCGTCGTATTGCAACTCTGGAAGAAGACCTTCACAACTGTGTACAAAAAGTGAGTTTATGCAGCCTAAATGCAGAGTTTAATGATCAGTTCCGTTTTTTTGAGGAGAGATTAAACTATAAAATAGAACGAGAGTGTGAGAGAGTCCAAAACATTCTTGAGTTGAGTATTCAGGATTTGGGCAAGTCAGTAGTGGATTGTTTGAAGAGGAGAGATAAGCAAATTGATGCCAAATTAAAATCTCAAGCTCCCTTTAGATCTACTCCTATTGTGCCTCCAGTGTTTACTCCTACCTTACCACACCGCAGACCTTTCAGTGCTCAGATTCAGACTCCTATACCTGCCAACCCAGATAGTGGTCATGGTTCTCAATATCGTCCTCCTGTTAGAATTGAATTCCCACAGTTCGGCTCTGATGAAGAAAATGACCCCATTTCATTTATTGAACATTGTGAAGATTATCTTGCTCTTAGACCTCTTACTGAATATGAGATTTTAGCTTCTCTCACCTCAGTTTTAAAGGGAACAGCTAAGGATTGGTGGCTAGCAGAACGACGATTCATCTTCACGTGGCACCAATTTAAGCAAACTTTTCTTCAAGCTTTCTTAAATGACGACTATGAAACAGAAGCTGCTAAACGGTTGTTGGAAAGGAAACAAGGTCCCAAAGAGTCTATACGTGATTTTGCCTATCATTACAGAGCCCTGTGTTTACGGTGGAAAAAGGAGATGACAGAGAAAGAGATAGTCCAGTCCATTTTAAGAAATTGCAACCCTCGCCTCGCCAGTCTCCTGAGAGGAACTGTCAAGGAAGTAGGTGAGTTGGTGAGGATTGGAACTCAGATTGAAAGAGATCTGGAAGAAGCCAAGAAATATTGGAGTCAGGCCAACGCAGATATACAGAAACGGAAAACCCAAACCGAAAGAGACATTCACACAAAGTCAAATCCCTCAAACACACGTGTTATTCAACCTGTTCACACCCCTGCTCAGATCAACTTGAAGATGGTGGCCCTACCGATGGTGATCCGTGGAAGATATTTCCAGGCCATGATCGACACAGGGAGTTCACTGACTCTAATGCAAGAATCTTGTTGGAATCAATTGAAGCACAGAGAACAGTTGGATTCTAGTTGTGGACAGACTTTCCAACAGGCCAATGGACAAGTTCTAAGTGCCTTGGGCATGTGGAGATGTGATGGTGAGTTACAGCAGAGGAAGTTTGCACTGTCCTTGTATATAATGAGGGATGTTGATCTCACTGTGCCTATAATCTTAGGAATGGATTTTCTTATGTCATCTGGAATTTGTCTGGATTTTCATAAAGTCCAATATACACTGCCTGCCACAAATGGATGCCGAGAAGAAATATTTTCATTCACCCCTGCCCATTCTCCCAATGCTTTGTTGTCATTCTATCTAGCCTTACCCATACCAGAAGAGTCATCTGAAACCCGCTCACTTATCCATCAACTAGTTAACAATGCAGACACATCTTCAGGATTGAAGTTACGACTTGAGCAGCTTATGAAAGACTGGCCCACAGTGTGCACCAATGAAATAGGGCACACCAATATAGTAAAACATCGTATCATAACCACTAATGAAGTACCCATCCGCCGAAAAGCCTATAGAGTATCTCCTGAAAAACAGCTTTTCATCGATCAAGAGATAAAGGGGATGCTTGATAAGAAAATTATTCGGCCCTCAACGTCTCCCTGGGCTGCTCCAATTGTCCTTGTACCCAAGAAAGGAGGAGGACAAAGATTCTGTGTTGACTTTCGAGGATTGAACTCAAAGACTTTCCTAGATGCGTATCCTATGCCACAAATACAGGACATTCTTGAGTCACTCCATGGAGCAGGAATCTTCAGTACCCTGGATCTAAAAAGTGGGTATTGGCAGGTGGAAATGGAACCTGAAAGCATCTCCAAGACTGCTTTTGTCACATCATCAGGCTTATTTGAATTTCTCCGTTTACCTTTTGGACTCAAAAATGCTGCTGCTTCATTTCAACGATTGATGGAGTTAGTGCTGAAGGATTTTAGGGGGAAGAGTTGTTTCGTGTACATCGATGATATTGTGGTGTACTCCAAGACGGAAGAAGAGCATTTGAAACACCTGAAAGCAATATTTCATTGTCTCTACAAAGCAGGGCTCACTCTCAATCTCCAGAAGTGCAACCTCATGCAAAAGTCTTTGATTTTCTTAGGACATGTGGTATCTAGTGACGGAATACAAACAGACCCTGAAAAGGTGGAAGCTGTTACTAAATTTCCCGTCCCTCAATGCTTGAAGGAGGTACAACGGTTCCTTGGTCTTGCAGGATGGTACCAAAGATTTATTAATAGGTTTTCCGAGAAGGCTGCACCACTGCATGCTTTAAAAAGAAAAGGAGCAACATGGTCTTGGACTGAGGAATGTCAGAAATCTTTTGAATTGATCAAACAAGATCTGACCAATGCACCTATCTTGATTGCCCCGGATTTGACAAAGCCTTTCAAAGTGCAGACTGATGCTAGCAACGTGGGTTTAGGAGCTGTCCTCACGCAAGA